TAATACTGGTGAGGTATTTGTAGGCTAGTAATAGGTTACAACACCATACGCTGTCCTATTGCTTCGACTGCAACAACATAGCGCTTGGTGCCAAAATGTCTGTCCAGAGCAAAGTGCGTTTTTGCAGTCCCCTTGGCACGCACAAAAGTAAGGAATTCATCAACTGCTTTCTGCAGCGATGGCGTCCCTTTGTCTAGTTCGATTCGTTTTTCACATTGATGCCAAGGTCAATGATGTCAGTGCAAAGAAATTATAACTTGCGATATCACGCGATGCGTTCGTATGTGAAGAGTAGCCATCCGCTAGGACAAACATGAACGTTTATGGGGCACTCTGCGCACTGAAAGGTTCGAGCTCAGCTACCGGTTTTGCGAGAATATGGCCGTCAGCTATGTTGTTTTGTACGTCAAAATAAGTTTGGGTTTTGCCTAACATTTTCATGTAAATATGTTTTTTAAAGGTCTCATCGCGATCATATTTGCATACGTTGAACATGAATGCAAAAATTATGGGAAATTTATTGCTATGCAAAGGTCTAACGCACGTTGTAGGTCTGTAAAGAAACTGGCCTGGAAAATAAGGAAGATGTGTTCATTTTGGTTTTGTAATATTTTATAAACCATACAACACCCTACGAAAGACAGAATGCCTAAGGGCAAGATATCTTATGGTGTGTACATTGTAAGGAGGACAGTGCATGCAAACACTCATAAGTGAACGAAACAAAAAGACCCACAAAAAAAAAAAAAAAAAAAAAATTGACAGTTACAACGCAGGCGCCCCAGCTCGGTCAGGTACGTGACTCATATGTCTTCACCCATTTCCAAAAGTCCGGCCATATTTTTTCTACCCAGTCATATTGATCCTCGATCAAAGGGAGCACTTATTCAGAAAGGGTGTAAAAGTCCAAAGTACGTTTAGCACGGAGATAATTCTTGAATTTTGTCCCTTTGACACACAGCACACGAAGAAAAAAATGTGCACAAAGAAGCAGCATTTCATGACTTTTGTCGCCTACAATTTGCCCATAAATTATAGTTCAGGTGCATGCTGAAGTCATTTATGCCGTCCGATTACCACTAGAATCGGCGCATCAGTAAGCTCAGCACCGACAGTACGCTCATTATTGGAAAATGAATTTTTTACTTACTTAGCTCATGCAAAATTAAGAACTTTTTAATGATAATTTCTGGTCGACCTATTTGACAGACAACAGGTGTTGGCTAAACACAAGTTATGATTTGTTTCGGTGGAATATCCGGGCCTCGATGTCACGACATTCAACCATTTCTCTGCTAATGCTTCTGGTATCTTCTGACTCACAGATTAAAAAGTAATTAAATATAATGTGTTTACATGCATGCCTTTAGTCAACATTTGACTCACACCGTGACTGGACCTGCAAGAGATGACTCCTACCTAAATAGTTACATTTATAATTCATCACTCAAATATGTGTTGTAATTATTTATTCAGTTGATGTTTCAAGGTTGCGATTTTGTTTATTCTCTGAATGTCACTGAAAACCTTTATTCTATATTTTTCTGTTATTTTATTATTAAGATCAAAGACACTGGCTGCACGAGTGCGGACATTGACGATGCAAGGACTGTGGTTGACCGGTAAGCTTTAATGTTTTGTTTAAATTATATGTATTTAAAATCGTTTTACTTTGTTTACCCTACTCGGAGTGTTGAAAAAGTCCGTAGCACAACTCCAACTTGTGCTGTTTTTAACAGAGGTAAACTGTAACCGACTTTTAGGGTGTTTCTTCCGTTTAAGTATTGCGACTTTAATTCTTACTTGTAATTTGATGTTTTAAATCATTCACTATATTTATACCCTAAAAATGCATTTGACAAACACTTATTAAATTATCTTACGAGCACAAACGCAAATCAATTTCAAATGTGCACTTTACATAGTAATTGGTAAAATTATTTTCATTGTTGTTAAAATTTTTATCACTATTAATAATAACGTAAATCGTTCAAAGCGGAATGTATGTGTTTTTCTACCCAAGAGGCAAAGATTTACTTTTTTATTATCATCACACAAAAGACAATAGACAACCTTATTCATTATTCATTATTTTTATTATTACGCATCAAGTCTCCTCTCTACACAAACAATGACAATAGGGCCTTCTATAAACGATATTTTAGGAAAAGTCCGGATTCAACTACCTCCTCAGAGAGAGCAGCATATTTGAAAACAATTGAAGAATTGAAGGCTTTTGAAGAAAAGACACGGAAAGAGGAGGAAAAGAAAACACGATCCAAATGGCAAGCCTTCAAGGCAATATTTTGCTGTTGTGCTTCAAAGGTAGGCTAAAATCCATGTAGGCCTTTGGTCTCGCTAACGAATTCTAATAAAAATCACATTTTGAAAAGTTTTTAAATAAGTGTGATAAAATTTGATATTGCAATTTGTATATTTTAACTTTTCATCGTGTAACACCCATACAGGTCGAGCCTTCCATCTCAGCAAAGCAGCCTCGGCGTTCAAACGAGCAGAACTACGTTGTTTCACCTGATGCCTCTGCAGAGTCAGAAGAGTCGCGAGATGAACGCCTGAATAAGCTTTTCTTGGCAGAGGAGGGTGCAACAGTAGAGCCATCTAGCGCAGCTTCAGACAGCTCCAGCTATGGAAAGGAAGTTGCCTTGCGCAAACCAGTGCGCGACAGCAGCATTACGATTAATTTCGTAAATTTCGAAGGCGAAGAATCAGAGGAAGCTGGAAGCAAAGAAGAAGGGGAGGTGGAGAATGACGATGGAGGGGCAAAAATCATCTATGTGAAAGAAGCAGATGACGTCAGCGAGTGAATTCATCCCAAAATTGCCTCGTCCAATTTCTTTCCCGCCCATAAGGTAATGGATTGTGTAAAGCAGGGTTCACAAATGATCTTTTTTCTAATCAAGCTAGTTTTTTTTCTAATTAAGCTTGAGATTTAAGTCAAGGATAGCTACATGTTTGACTATGAATAACCTTTTAAACTTGAATTCTATTTCATTTAGATGAAAGGTCATTTTTAAATAACTTGTTTTAGTGACACCATGTTTGTCATTTTTAAGACGCCACTTTCAAAAATGAGTTAAAAGATGCCACTCTTGATTTTTGCCTTTAAATAATACCATAGAAACTTGGATTTGTCATTAAATGAGAAAAGGAGATGTGCGTGACCACACATTTTAAATTTTGATTCCAGGATGATCTCGAGCAGAGTAATAAATTTGTGATTTAGGCCAAGGGATAGAATTATGGGCCACAGGTGCATCCAAACAGCGTTAAAAAGAACTCCTGGGTAGACCAACACCTCCCACGAGAATCCCAAGAGAGTTTTAACCAATCCGCCACGGAAGATACAGAGTGATGGAGAAAGAGAGCGATGAGCGTCCAAGCCATCTTGTGAAGTAGTAACTGTTGTAGTCTCGCTGACGTATTCCAATAAAAATCACATTTTGAAAAAAGAATATTATCAGTCCACCATGGAAGATAGAGAGGGATGGAGAAAGAGAGCGATGAACGTCCAAACCATCTAGCATGGTAGTTACTGTTGTAGTCTCGCTGACGTATTCTAATAAAAATCACATTTTGAAATGAGAGTTTTAACCAATCCACCATGGAAGATACAGAGTGATGGAGAAAGAGAGCGAGCGATGAGCGTCCAAACCATCTAGTGTGAATCTAGTGTGGTAGTTACTGTTGTAGTTTCGCTGACGTATTTTAATAAAGAATCACATGTTGAAAAGAGAGTTTCAACCAATCCACCGTGGAAGATAGAGAGTGATGGAGAAAGAGAGCGATGAGCGTCAAAACCATCTAGTGTGGTAGTTACTGTTGTAGTCTCGCTGACGTATTCTAATAACAATCACATGTTGAAAAGAGAGTTTTAACCAATCCACCATTGAAAATAGAGAGTGATGGAGAAAGAGAGCGATGAGCGTCCAAGCCATCCAGCATGGGTGATACTGTTGTAGTCTTGCATACGTATTCCAATTAAAATAACATTTTGAAAAGAGAATATTATCAGTCCACCACGGAAGATAGAGAGGGATGGAGAAAGAGAGCGATGAGCGTCCAAACCATCTAGTATGGTAGTTACTGTTGTAGTCTCGCTGACGTATTCTAATAAAAATCACATTTTGAAGTTTTTAGATAAGTATGATAAAATATGATATTGCAATTTGTATTGTTTTAACCAATCCACCATGGAAGATAGAGAAGGCTAGAAAAAGAGAACGATGAGCGTTCGAACCATGTAGTATGGTAGTTATATACTGTTGTGCGGAAAAAATCTCGCATAAAAACGTCACATACAGAACTTTATGTATCAGCGTACTTGGTACATGTAGGTGACAGCGGAAGAAGTGACATCCATTAAACTGAGAAAGTCAAACCGGTTGTATAGCCATCACCATGGCAACATTTTCGGTGACATTATAGCCCACTTTCTTGATGATGTATACCAGGTCTGTTGTAGTGCCTTGTTGTACGATAAAGCACATCTGTTGAAGACTATGCACGGCAAGTAGAAGTGTGTGTTGGGGTGGGTTGGGGTGTGTATAATGGGGTTGGGGAACCCCCCCCCCCCCCTCACTAAACCCACTTGAGCACAGTTTATTGAAGAAGTCGTCGTGGACACAGATATCACATATTTTTCAATGGCAACGTGATGGCAATGGCAATGAAAAGCTGAAAAGAGTTTAACTAATAAATATTGCATGACGTGATGCTTATACCCACTGTACTGTTCATGTGCATGTATTCTGCCGATTTTCCTGCATCTATTTCTTGGCATTCATATGCTGTTTACTTGAATGAAAGATGATATTTGAAGTACAGTTATGTTTTCCAACCCGTTCACAATGTGTATGGAATGTGTGTCTGTTTCGAATTTCCTGCAGTTTATACTGTATTGGTATTAAATAAAATGGAACAAAAACGAGTGATTTCTTTTTCTTTATTCAAACCAAAACTTTCGAATGGAATTTGCGATTAGTTCTTGTTGAACTTTTGATGAATCCACGTCTCTACAAACTTTTCTGTGATAAACAAAATGTAGCTTTAATTTCTCACAAAATATTATCTTTTTTCGTTTTCTAGTTATTTTTTTACAATTCAACCTCTCCATTCAGAATGTCCATATTCTAAATTTCTGTGAGACTAAAAAGTTAGGGATTAGTTCGTAGTATTTCAAATCCATATTTCCTTTTTTCTTATATTTCCAGACAACCATCAAATTACAATTTAGAATATCAACAAAAATACCATACTTATTTTCAATTTAGAATATCAACAAAAATACCATCCTTATTTTCATGCGAGCAAATATTTTATTTATTTTTTTGAAGCGTCACGAACGATGATTCTTCCCTTCTGGCTTCTGTTGGTGAAGGCGTTGTTTCTGGTACACATATAGTGGAACACGCCCTCCTTAGCGAACTGAAGAGGACCCAAGTCATAGTAGGCTTTGGCATTGTCCAGCAGAAACATGTGACCACCGTATCGGGCTAAAAAATAACAAAAGGAACAAAAATTGCAAAGAAAGCGTAATTCTCGCGGTGCACTACTCAAACCTATACAAATGTCATTATTAAGTGCTGACGCTCTCCACTTCAACCTAAACTTACACGAGTTTTTTTATCATATAAAAATTCGTTGAAAGAACTTTGCCTTCAGTGCACTTACGGGGTGCCAACAGCGCCATCTTCTGGAGGACAGCTCTCGTTTCTGTCGATGCCCCGATCAGACGGGTCACGTTATCCAAGTGCATGGGATAGTTAGCTCCATACTGGCCAAGGACATCCAGTCCACCGTAAGCCAGACCGGGGGTTCCTTCTGGGTATACCTTGTTCTTAAGCATGACCATGTTGTTACGGTCAGTGCCCCTTCGGCCATTTCCGGCGTTGTTGTGGGGGTTTCTATCCGACCCTGTCCATCTGGTAAGAAAAAAAATCTATACAGTCATCATTCATTTAACGGTTTATCTGTTTGTTCTGACGTCGGTTTTTATCTATTCCACTTTCTATTCATTTTTCATTTTATTATAAGCTATCCTAAAACCACAAAATATGATACTGTCTAGTGTAAAATTGACTGGAAAGCACATAAATTGTAAGCACACTATCATGTTATTATCAGTATTGTTTAGAAGTAGTTAAACTATGTTGTTTGACTACCCAGGTACTATTTTTTACGTAAATTTAAAGATGCATACAAAGTCAATTTTTTGTCACAAAAACCAACAAAATGACAGCATATAGTTTCAAGTAGTATAACTATGAAATTNCATAAATTTAAAGAAAGGAGCAGTCTAAAGGTCTTTTATGGCTGATCGAGTGATATATTTAGTTTATCCCTTGGTATGTCGAATTTATTTGAGTCATATAAGAATCTAGTAGAAGTGGTTTACAAGTGTTACTGGGGATCCACGCTCCACCGATGCTCGGTTCGTATGTACCTTTAAGTGCGGTTGAGGCAAACGGAGAAAGTTTTGAAAATAATCATCATAATGCCTGTAAGGAATGCTCAAGATCGTCAGTTTCTTATACAAAACTTGGAGCATCTATCACGTTGCACTGCGAATTAAACTGTCCAATTGTTTTTTTTTTTTTTAATAATTGTTACCTTTACTTGGCAACAACTGAGCTCGTGTGATATATAAAGATACAGCCAACTTACTGAACATGTACATAGTCGTTTGTGTTGATCTCCAAGGTGTTGGGGACATAGTCGTACTCCACTGCTGGGTACACCTGTTGGTTGTTCCCGCGTTTTCCTCTCACGTTCAAATTGTGGATGGTGACATCTTTCAGCTCGGTAGGTCTCTGCCTAATTTCAAACACATGGGACCTAAGGAAAAACCAATGGAGTGAAAATTCACCATTTATGAATTAATAATTACATTTACTTAATCTTTGCTTGTTATTTTGTGGTTATTTTCACTAAGAAACCCTGACTGGTATGTATTGTTTCTACTGTCACCAATCATAGTCATGTTAATTTACCATTAACTGATAAATTAACTTCCTCATTATTTCATAAGTGACGTAGTGTAATATAACGTACTGTGTTTGCTGGGTCAGATCCGTAACACGTATGCATTTCATAAAAAATGTTCATTTATATAATAAATAATAATAATAATAATAATAATAATAATAATAATAATAATAAAATTATTTTGAGTCTAAAATCATTATAACATGTTCAGAAGACTTAACATATACATAAAACAACTACCTAAGAAATCAATTATTAGGAATAGATAAATGAAAAATTACAAAGCTTAACTACAAAGAAATTCTAGTATTCTAGATAAAACATACGGATTCTCACATAAAAGCACTTACAGTACATAACTAAATTACATGTATGTTTGTTTAAAAAAAATCAATATTCTAGATAAAAAAACAGCCTTATTTGCACAAAGAAAAAAATTATAATGTTACAGAGATGAATCTTGAATAATACAAGCACATCATTCGTTATAGTTAGTCATATCAGCAGCATGACTTCTTCAGAATACTATTTTAGTGGAAAGCCTACCTGTCCTGGAAAGTACGTCCAAACTGAGCCGTGTTGATGGCCAATGTAAGCTTCACATCGAGGCCCGGAAACATCTGAACATCCGGGTTATTCTTGAAGACATAACCGCGTGCTTCAGCAGTCTCCTTGTTCGGAAGTTTGAAGGTCTTTGAAAGGTCAATTTTGGAACCGTCTGTGTCGCTATCAGTGTTGGAAGACGCATCTGTGTTCCACGAGTCGTAATCGTTGGTAGAAATGTTGTACCTGCAAAATTTATAATAATAATAATAATAATAATAATAATAATAATTATTATTATTATTATTATTATTATTATTATTATTATTATTATTATTAAGAATCTTTTAAATTGTCCTGAAGAAACGCATTAACGCTATGCACAAATAAATAATATATATAGTATATAAAACTTAAAATTCTAAAACATATCAACAGACTTCCAATTGCATATTCCAAATTCTCAATCAAGGTGAATTTGATTACCTATTACACAAATGACAATTGCGGTTATAAAAGATTCTGTTTTCACATTCACTGAGTCATACTGATCGACGTGGTAAGGGCCACAGTTACAATAATAGTTTCTTCAATTGCAAAACAGCGGAGAGTTGCTTTTTTTTTAAGAATTAGACTACAAAAATACTGGAATACACCATTTTAGTCGATGTTTTGAAGAAACTACCTGTAGATGTACTATATGCTAAATTTATTTTATTTTGCCGGATATAATATTTGTAGAGTAGATTGTTTCATGTGATTTTCAATTATTTGACAGGCTAATTACCTCATCCGTAAGACGCATTTCTCATGAGCAATACCCTCCGGAATAACCCAATCGTATGTATTGAAATTTCCTCCAATCCCGTTGCCGTTGTGGTTGTCACGTGACCAGGGAGCCTTGATACACTTTGGCGGCGGAATGTCGTGAGCGGGAAATTCAGTCCAATTTGCACTTACCGGCTGTCTGAATATTTCGAAATTCTAAAATACCAGGAAAGATAATAAATTGCAATTGACTGTACAGTGTAGATCAAACGTGAAAGAAACTGAATATAAAATAGGCTTGTAAATTGCTTTGTTTTAAATGTATTTCATAAGTAGCTTTCTTGAGCTTCCCTCAATTTTGCCTCCTGGCATATGAATGGCACTTACCTCACAATCCTCTTTATTGTCAGGAATGATAAAAAGAGGCCAGCGATAAAATCGATTCAGCTTGTTTCTGTCGACGACACACCCCCACCTGGACTTCACGTTGTTGCTCTCTTTTTGGTAATAGTCGCAGCGTTCAACGTTATTAGTCATGACGACGATGTCCTTAAGGAGAGTTAAATATCATAATTATATTAAAACACGAGAACATTGACGGCCCCCGGGGGGGGGGGGGGGAGGCAGTGGACCAGGTGTTACTCCCCTCCTTAGCTTATGAGATACCCCTTGTTTTCCCAACAAAAATGAAAAGGAATAATATGAAAATCGAGACAAAGCTAAGATAACTGCTACTGAAATCCGACCGTTGTCGCAATGAGGGCATAACGTTGTTCATCTAAGGTGGAAAGCGTTGTACATCTAATGGACCATTCCCTATCGTAGTAGCAGGATCGATCTAGCTCCGAGGGGATTCTCGCTAAATCGCATTCAATTTAAGCGTGCACGAAAGTTAATTACAGCCAGCAGCTTCAGTAGGCGTGGTAGATAAATAAGCCGCTTAAACTGAATGCAAATTAGCGTGTTAAATCGATCGTGCTGGTACGATAGGGCTAGAGGAATGCAGTCTAATATTGACATGGCTGTAGAGACGACTGAAGAGACCCCTGGTGGAGAGTAACCACATTATAAAGGACCTGAGTCACCAGTATAGGCGATTTAAGGCCTCGAATTTGGTTCTATTTGAACAACAAAGCTAGGACATATTGAATTAAACACGAGTACAACTAGTTTAGCCCAATATGCAAATAGCCTCTATGTATACGTACCTTCCAAGGGGAATGGTACCAATAGGGATAGTAGTCTCTCTCTTCTGGGCATTCGTAACCGCTTTTGGTGCCGCCATTATTCTGTCGAGTGAATCTAGCATCGTTGAACCTAAGATTCTTTAGTAAAAAAAAAGAATCTTACATTACTTTGGATGTTTAAAATTCATAACCACGTCTGGTGTGAGCTGTATTATTCCTTGAATATCCACCGTAGCATGTACTTCAACATTGCATGCGCATGAGTTCATGTCAATATTTCGTGAACGTTTTTCAGACGACACATACATTTTTTGGGACCAAGACTTTCGGTACTTAAGCTGACGAAGCAATTAAAGCATTAACGTACGTATCTATTGATAGTTAAAATATTCTTATGCGAAATTTTATGAAGCACATCATTAAATAATGTCAAAAAAATCGTGATGCTTTGCATTCGTGCGACATGCAAGAAAAAAATACAAAGGGTGAAAGTTTTGCACGCGAAAGCGATATTGAATAATGTACCGGTAGACGGGGTATGCAAGAAACTGAGAGAAGGAACATATTCTTGCCTCACATGATGGCAAAATTTTTTTTAATGAAAAGAAAAAAAACGCGCGTTACTGCATCCGGGATAAATACAAGCGCATACTACCTGATCCGCCAAGAAAAGCCCTTTGTTTCTTTGCCTAGTGCGACAGTACAAATAGTGGTTCCATTCCTCATGCATTCCAAAACCAGGATTTAGGTCCTGGTTGTCAACAATTGAGAAAGACGTTGCCCCGTCTCTGATCTTGTCATCGCACATGTACTGCAATATAAGCTCGCAGTTAGCGTTCTGGTCCGCGCAGCTGTGCTGGTTAGCCCTGAGTATGATAGAAAGAAGAATAAGTGAGACAATTTCGTTGTTGATAATTAAAATAAAATGATACTCAAACTGCTTCTACTACTAAGAATGATGAAACTTTGTTTAATACAACACATTATTTGCTACATCCAATGACTTGTATAAGGATCAATTAATTTAGTTGAAATCAAAATTGCATACGTGCTTTTGGTTTAAACTTAAGTATAAATGTCATCGATGTTTCAAGTAAAATTGACTTTTAATCATAAAACACCAAATACTTCAGAAGTTTATTAGAATTTAAGTGAAGTGCTCTCAACTTTGATCTTTTCATCAACAGATGGAATGAAAAATATCTCTATGGTATATATCATCGGTATATATCAAAACAATAAAATATTATCTTTATTAAGCTTCTGGGCCGATGAACGGACAATAGAAATAAGTAACTTCATGAAAACGGATAGAAAAATAGCGTCGTGAACAATGGATAAAACACAACATAGGCCTGTGAACAACGGACGAAAGAAAAAATGCCGTAATTATCCAAAGAAAATATGCTATTAAAAGAAAAAACGGCGGATGTCCGTGTCCCTTCATCTGTTAGTGAGGTTAAGAAAAAAAACAACGTACCACTCTATGCTAAGTGTAGATCCCTCGTAGTAGTACATAGGGTCTCCCACATTGTATCCACCGCGGTTGTTATTTTGGGAATCGAACAACCTGAAAAGATTATAGACAAAATAAAACTGTTTTTTTACTATTTATTAAATTATGATTTTCATCTTTATTCTTTCATAGACCATAAGCTTGATCTCTCAAGCACTTTTAAGTGTGAAATATGCAAAATAAACAAAATAGATTTTAATAGATTAAAATCTATTTTGTTTATTCTGCATATCTTCTCTGACACTTTAACAATGGCGGATACAGCAGGCCATGTTCAACGCCCCTTCCCCCCCCCCCCTCCCGCACACACACACTCCTTGGCTTTGAGGTTACCCCTTCTCCCTGGGAAAAATGCAATTAAACAAGCATAATGAGACAAAACCAAGCGCATTTCCATCTCTGGTCCTATATTTCACAGTAAAATTACTTTTGTGAGCTATTTTTAATTAGATGCGTTTTCCTCGAAAAACATGTGCTCCCTCCAGTGTATTTCTATGCAAACAGATGATTCTGGATGTGACAAGGTTAAATATTTTTCTCGTTTCGACAGAATAATGATAACCATTTTTATTATAAAAATAATTATTTTGCAAAAATAACTGTTACCTCTTGTTATTTCTCACATCCCTGGTAAACCAATTAAGCCTATTATTACTTCCCCTGGAAAGAATAAATAAACATTTATACATGCTTTATATGTGTGTGTGTGTGTGTGTGTGTGTGTGTGTGTGAGAGAGAGAGAGAGAGAGAGATGGGTGTGAAGAAAGGTGTGCGCGGAGCTGAATGTTTGTTTTTAAGTGCTTTGCACATGTGGGTTTGATGATGTGGAGAGTATAAAATCTGCTTGCGTGTGTGTGTGTATGTGTGTGTGTGTGTGTGTGTGTGTGTGTGTGTGCGCGCGCGCGCGTTTGTGTGTGTAAATTTGGATATGGATGTAAATATGTGTTTGCGTCACTCACAATAACGGCCTCTTCGGGGTTTTTTTATATTTTTTAACTTTTTTCTTATTTTATACTTTTTTGCTACAGTATATAAATGCTTAACCCGCATTGCACATATCTCATTAAATTGAACATCACGCCCAACATCCAATGCACACGTAGACCTATTATTCAAAATTGAGCGAAAGTCGGAAAACATTTAGTGACACCCTAGCCATTTCAAGGATCAGAAAGTACATGACAGAAGGCACAAAGAGTTATAATGCCTCAAATCAACCAACAGCCTGCATTCAAACGCCCTACAGCACATTATCAACCCAATGACGCACTTGGGTGCCTGTGTAAAGAACGACATAAAGGAGCAAAAGTTATTAAAATGGATTCTATTACAGAAAGATTCAAGCTCTTCTGGGCTTTGTGCTCCGTGTCACGATTCTAATGCGCACGCAAATCTAAATCCTTATCTCGAGACTCATCTATAAGTTACCTAAGGAGACTAACATCATGCTCAATATTTATGCCTGTTTGAATATTAATTATAAGTACACCTGCACCTGCGAAAACGTCGTGAATTGGAGGACTGGTCGGAGGGCTGATAAAGTTACATTCTTTCTTGTGACTTACCAGATACGACATACCAGATGATACGGAGTAACAGTACTATCTGTTAAAGCAATGTCAAACACAAAATAGCAAAATAGAAATAACAGACAAAATAATATTTTCTATAGCGCTCGGCGTGATAAAGAAATGGTGCAAAGATGTGTTTCTACATGTGTAACACACGACAATATAATGATGGTAATTACAACTGATTGATTTCTGAAAATATTGCACTTCTCGTGCGTCTTAGCGATACTTACATAAATATGAATATGGAAACATAAAACGATAGAGATATTTTAAGAGAATCGTTTTCATTCTTGTTGCTGTTAGTAACTTTAATCACAATTTGTACTTGTTGCAAATGTCTAAGTTTTTAGATTAAAGTTAGTCTACTTCGACCCAGGAGTTATCAGTAGTTATCTAATTGAATGCACTCGTTCTAATCACAAGAATGTCGAAACTTGTACCTAAGACCAATAATAATATGCACCTGATATAATTACTGCCTTACCTTGGATTAGTGATGTATAAATCACCACTTGTTAAAGCTGCACAACACAAGAGGAACCCCAGCGTCTTCATGCTTCTTGATCAGTCAACGTGACGATCAATTTTAAAGGTTACGAAATTGACCCAGTTGGTCCATTTAAGTAGTTCCCATCACTCCCGCATTTCTTCTTCGCAAGGAAATCTAGTCCATCGCGGTTATTGAATATTCAGATGATCTTTATTTATTATGTTTTGGACAGTCCTGATCACTGACGGTTCTCCTTCGCAAAGAAAACGAGTACACTGGGACATTTTTTTTTATTAAAAGACGTCCAATCAAGAAGATGGTTTTCTTTAAGCTAGATTGTGATTTTTGCCAGAGGCGACTCAGTTGATCCCTGCCCGTCACTTGATCGGAATAAAATGAGAAACGTTACACTGTCTTTTGCAGATGGGGGTCTTATCTTAAGACCAATTGATTGTACGCATTTAAAGAACTTCGACAAATAGACTTTATTTGACATTTGTTGTTTGTTTTTTGGCCTCCGTGATGGCCAAAGTAATATCAGACATTCCTTTCGATTGTCAAAGAACAATGCAGATTGATTTCCCAGGGTATTTTTCTTTTTCAGATATCTTAATTTAAAAATTGGGTTTTCAATTTTAGCGGAGTCTTCGAGCTAAGACGCTTGTCACGAGGCTTCTTATAATGAGACAAAAACAATTTAGGCGTTTTGGGCTGGACACTAAAACAGCACTCCCCAATATCCAAATCTCATAACTGGACAAAATACAAGTATCTCAAATATACATCTTCAAAAATAAAAATAAAAATAATAACGGAATTTTCAAGTTAGACAGGTATTCAGCAGGGAATAAAGTGATGCCGGATTTTTATTAAATATAATTCTTTAAATATTTAAAATATTTATTCTAATATAGCTTTAATTTATTGCGCTGTTCTGGGTTGACCTTTGCGCTAGTGCAGTGTCCTCTACTTCCCTACAGCATGAAACAAATCATCAGCCATGAAGGTTACTCATTACGGTTGACCAGAGAGCTGGAATTTTTCACTTTCACCTCGCCAACACCTGCTTGTTCTGTCTTCAAAGTACTCTCTTTCATAGGTTATCAATCTCCTCATTCTTTCTGATAAGCACCGTGGGCGACCAGTTTAACCTTGGGTGAATAAACGTTTTATCTATCCAAGACTTATCAGCATCTCGCTTTGGTCTTTTCTATTTCACACCCCTTACACTGACGGCTCACCGAATCGCTTCAAAAGTAAACCCAGCATCTGTGCTACTTGATACAGTATGTTGTCACTCAACGCACATATTATTTTAAGTGTTATGTCTCAGAGGCGAAGCGAAGAAGGGTCCCAAAACATATAGATCACGAAAAAAACTACTAATTTTAAAAAAATCGTAGATCGCGTCATGCAGAAAATACATGCATAGTGTACAATATTTGTACACTGTTGGCCGATAATATGCGATGCTTATTTTTCTAATTTCTACTGACTTTTTCTGAAAAAAAAAGTGTTTGTAAGTCAAACTATTTTTATGAAAATTATGTATTTTTCGTTAAGAAATGGTTGACATTATTTTAAACGTACATAATATTATACTTTGCACATAACATAGGAAAATGTATATTTTACAAACAACAATTAAAATCACGTACAGGTTCACTTATATTACTAAGCAACCTTCATATAAAGTTTGTGCCAAGTTTTAAAGTTCTGGTTTCTCCCAATTATTGAGCCTCGTTTCTCTTCTGTGACACAAATCTCCACGTCAATATTTTTCGTCCAAATTATAACGTGAAGTTTCAACCAGTATGGTTTAAGCACAACGCATTAGAGCCACATAGCTACCACGTGTGCTTCAATGCGTTTACTGGGACCTTGAAGTGAGAGAAAATATGTTTTAAAAAACATTTAGTCAACGTCTCAGTTAAGTCCAACGATCTCCAGCTATTCTGTGATTAGACTAAAAGCAGTCGCAACATGCATCACATGCACTTTGTTGGCCATTAAAGAGATTAGTGAGATCAAATAAAGTCTAAAATTAAAAATCTGATGAAAAAAATTTAAATATGCGTATCAATACCATTGCTAGATGTTAAACGCTGCACGCAAATACCATTGCTAATACCATTGACCATATGCTTATACGCTTTACGTATTAAGAGCCAAACGCTGGCCGCAAATGCCACTGCTAGAGGCTATACGCTGTACGTATCAATACTATTGTTTGCAACATTTTCTCCCTTCCTCACACAAACTGTCGTGGCTCCCATTGCGCCGTTATCTTTGCACAATGTGGCTGTGAGAGGCTGGGATTGCGTTAGGTGCGATTCTGACGATTGTGATTGCGTTGTGGTTGTGACGTTATCCTTGCAATTTGCGGTCGTCAATGGCACTATAGATTGCAACTGAAGAAGGCCTGCAGATAAGCCTGAAATGGACAGTACATGATCATAGGATGTATGCAATATATTGGCATTTACTATTCATTTATGCTTTATCAGGTCGGTGAAGCCAAATAAAAAATTTCAAATCATAAATAAAATAGATATCAATTTGACGCATATCATGACTGTCAATTGCAATTACACATATCTTCCACGAAGAGAAAACATATTTCTGCTCAGATTGAGGTAATTACTCTTTGCATATATATTTCTGACACGTTAGTAAGTGATGTGTCATCCGACAAGATGCAGGGCATAGATGAGAATTAAGATTGTGTGAGTAATTGGACAATACTAATGGTTAGAAGGTACTTAAATTTTGTGATCGAAATCACAACGACAAATGTTGCCTTACAAGAAGTCCATAATATCCTAGCTCTATATATAGGGCCTGCAGGTACACTGTTTAACGGTGGCTTTCGTTTATATGTTATCAATTACATTTGATAAAACCTTTTAACACACGCAATGATGGTTCCTATATTTTGTTTAAAATTATATTAAAAGTAGATTTCATAGATAGGATGAGAAGGCGAATTACTGTCGAAAAAAATTTGCTCACGTTTTCCAAATATCAACCATATCTAGTGACGTTTATATCGTCCTCTTCATCCAAAAATCCAAAAAAAGTATTCTATCTATTGTGGTTATTTAAGAATTATAATTCGCATTCTTTCCCTTTATAACCAGTGTCTTTCTCTAGCTACTTATCGCATATCAATGACGATAGCAGATTCAGGATGTAATGAAAGGGGGTGTTCCTCCCACGCACCCACACCCACCGCCATCCCAATTATCCTGGACCTGCCTTTGGGGAGGAATATCTTCGTTAGACCGCATTCCATCGAGTGGAAATGGCTCTACAAAACCACGAACTAAATATGGCGGACGTACATGAAAGGAAAACCGCCTAATCTTTTAATAGTCTCTCCGCCTCTCACACGCCTCCCCATGCGTCGTCCCTGCGGGGGTACAGTCATTAAATCTCG